TCCCGAGCAGCCCGTGGAGCAGTGGGCAGGATAGAACGGTCAATTGGAGGTGCCCTGTACACGTCGTCATCATTACTGTGCCAAGTGGTTGAAACTAGGATAGGAAAGCGAACAGAAGGAATTACAGCAAACTTCCCTTACTGCTGTTGTAGAATAAGTGGACTCATGCTAAGTGCCAAGGATTAAATAAGTTATGTCAGGAAAGAAACAGATAAAAAGGCACTTAAATAAGGGCACTTTACAAAGAGACAGTGCTTCTGAAATGTCAGAATCAGGTTAGCACTGCAAAAAGACTCAGTATTCACTGTCTCTTGGTTTCTAAGTATTTTAAGGCCTTTAAAGGCCCAGGCTTTTGTTAACAGTATAGTAACTCTTATTCCTTATGCATCAAAGAAAAAGAAAGTATCAACTGTTTATTGAATGTTATGATGAGCCAGGCATTTTATATTCATTATATCCCATCTTATCTTTTTAATAACGCTGTGAGATTGTTCGCATTCTACGGAAACGGAAACTCAGATTTCAGAAGATTCAATAACTTGCCTAAGATCACAAAGATGGCAGAAGAGTAGATGATAATCCTAGTAGAGGCAGGACTCGAACCCTCAGTCCAAATCTATTTAAACATTGTTGACAACTCTCATATTCCTAACTTTTTGGGTGGACAAAGTGTGTTCTTCATGGTTTATTCTCCTCTTAAAAATGAAACAAAATCAACACAACTCAATTCTGTCCCATTCCTCAGACCAGTTTTGTTTTTCCATGACTTCATAAAAATAGCTCCCGGAACAAATTATTCTCTTGATTCTGAATATAAACAGCTTATAGATTACATTGTAACATCAGGACATCATAGAATTTTAGTAATCTAGTCCTCAACTTTTGAAATGAAAATGAGGATTAAATTAATACCTTGAGAAAAGTCTGTTAACAAAAGAGACAGAATTAGTACTAAGCTCTCCTGAATCACCCCTTCAGTCCCTAATCATAAACTCTTACAACCTAAACCTAAAATTCTATGAAATACACAAATATAAGACTTAGGGTTCTATAAAATGAGTAAGTTCCTTTCAGATTACAAGTGTGAACCATTACTATGGAATGGGTTTGGCCTCAAAGAGAATGAAAACTCCAAGCATGATGGGGAAAAAAAATTACCATCTCCTTCCAGGTCATCTGTTTCATCAGCCCAGCTGACTGGTTTGGGAACATAGGTGCTTCCTCCCCCAGTCCCTCCATCCTCAGCCAGGAAGTCTGTTAGGGAGATAGTTTTCCCCTTCTTATTCTTCTTTTTTGCTGTTTTAAAAAGGCAAAAGAAAGATTATTTATCATTCCTTAGGTATTAGAGAGTTGTACAGGGCACTACTGTTAAAGAAAGCAACATAAAGGGCCACCAAAGGATACGATGGTATACTACACAGATGTAAATAGGGACAAAGTACAATATATTGGCACAGCAAGAAAACCCAATGAAAACTGACAAAATAAACTGCTTATGTATGGGAAAAGGTCTAGAAAGAGTTTCAACATTAAGACTGGGGTGGGGTCAACTTTTTTCCTACTATATTCAATCATGTATCATTGGGAATTTTTTAATTTAGTAACTACTTGTTTTTAAGACAGGTGACTATATCCATTGCTCCTGGTATACAAAGAACTAAAACAAAACTCCTACCCCTAATAACATATTCTTTTTGGCATTTATGAGGATTGTTTGATACTTGTAAAATAACCACATGAGGTAGGAATCGTTACTATCAATTTACAGAAAAGAAAACTTAAGTCTCAGAGAGGTTAAATGACTATCCTACAGTTACAGAGATATTAGATAGCAGAGCTAGAATTAAACCCAGGGTTTTGGATACCAAATCTAGGGCTCTTCCCACAGGAGCCCCAACCTCTAAGAAGCTTGTTATTAGTTCTATGGGAGAAGGGGGGGTATCATAACCACAGTAAACTGGTTACTGTCATTTGAATGTGTTCACACACTAAGACTCTACACAGAGTTGGCTCTCCTTGCCCTCTAGGAAAAAAAAAATTCTCTCCTTCCCTAAACACCACATATGAAGACGAGATAGGGTACTGAAGGAAAAATATAAAAAACCCCTAAGAACCAACACATTCTAATGTTTTCTGCGGTTATGACATCTTTACAAATTTCCAAATGGCTCTGTTTAGTGGACTGACCTTGGCTCTTTAACTATCTAGTTCTCAGGACTTTTTCTGAGATCGCATCAGTCAGCAGCTACTGCAGAAGAGCTGAAAGGACTAACTCAAGTTCTAAAACTGGCTCCTGAGAGCAGCCCCTACAGGATAAGAAAAAAGCAAGCAGCTTTGTTGTAACAAAGACCAGTTTTGTGGCTTTTATAATAGTGAGTTCCTCCTCCATGTTCCAATTCTCATCTAATTTTCAACCCAGGAAGACTAAGAATTTGTAACATGATGCAACCATTTGTTTAACTGAAGGCTGCTCTCTCACCAGGACCCTTTCTTTTAAAATCCAACTTTCAGGAGGAGCCTGGGTGGCTCAGTCCGTTAAGTGGCCAACTCCTGATTTCTGCTCAGGTTGTGATCTCAGGGTGGTGGGATTGAGCCCCCTCATCTCTGGGCTCCGCACTCGGCAGGTATTCTCTCTTTCCCTCTGTCCCCCCCACCTTAAACAAACAACAAAACACCCAACTTTCAGGAAATAAAGATGACCTGTTTGCTATGAGTGTTATGAACAGCCTTCTGGACACACTAAGAACCTGAAGCATTATGGTCTCAATGAGCTAACCAGATGAACGTGGCTGCAATAATATGGAGAAAAGACGGTGTTGAATGTGGTTTCCATGATTCTGTCAAGTGACTTATTACCAGTCCTGCTCTAAAAGCATCACTTCTGATTAACCAGATTATATTTTGGATCTATTCTATGCTTTGAAAGAAAGCAGTTATGCAGAGGTTGGGTCCTATAGCATCGATATTGCCCCTAGCTTATATGCAAAGGCCTAGGAGAAGAAATTTACTAAGCAAATGTGAGTAAGACATAAAGCCTGCCTCTGAGGTGGAATGATCACAATGTACAGGTTTATTTTCATCTTTTCCACATCCTCTAATTCAAAGTGCTGGGGACTAATATGATGCTAGCTAGAGATCCTTACCCTCATGGGGCTTAACCTAGTATCATCAGCTAATACCCAATTATTGATCTGTCTAGTTACTGGGGAAATAAAAATAGAACTGATGGCGAGTCCATACAATGAGGTCAAGTTCAACATAAAAATAATTTGATTAAAGCATCCCTGCCCCTTCGTCCTATATATGTATCTAATACTAAAAGAGCAGAATCTGGAATTAACCGGTCTTTGGTCTGATTCTGGCTTATACCAACTTTCTAGATCAGGGTTTCTCAACTTTTATCCCTTGACTTTTTTTTTTTTTTTAAAACCCTTGACTCTTGACCAACAAATCTTCCTCTCCTTTAATGTTATTGGAAATTTCAAAATAATAAACTAAACATCATAACTAAAACAAAACAAAAACTAAAGCACTGTTTGGCTCAGAATGTCTTTTTAAATCATGTATCTCCCTTTCTCCTGATTCTGTTGCCCTCCCCTCCAAAAACCTTTGGCTGAGAAATCACTGATGATGGTTGGTCTTCATTTAAAAACAAGCTAAAATTCTTTCACAAGATCTGTAACTTATGTTTCTTTAAATCTAGCAGCAGCAATCATTTAGTACAAATATAAACAGATTTAAAAGAACTAACTGGCCCTTTAGAAAGTAAAATCAGTAAACTAAAGTGGGTGCCAGTGTTTGTTCCACTCTATTTTACTCGAATAACTGAGAAACGATGTTATCTAAATCCTCTACGCCCTTTGCTACTCTAGTATTAGGCCCATTACATGTTTAGGATTTCAACAGTCTTCTCTGGATTAAGTAAAGCATCGTTTAATGTTCCAGGTTTATCAATCCCTTGCCACACGATCAAACTGGTCCAACTCTTAATTTTCTTTAAATCTGATGTGAATTGGTTAAAAAGTTAAACCAACCACTTCATGTAACAAACAAGAAGTGTCTCAATTATTTAAGGCCAAATCCATATGCACTAAGGGAAAACGCACACACATCCCAGAAATTTTAAATTCTGTCTGCCTTAATTACTCCCTGCAATTTACTGAACAAGTACGAGGTACTTGTGAAGCTCTTTATATACTCATATAGGTTAAATAAGAGCTCAAAAGATAGCATTTTCAAAAACTTTTAAGTCTACAAAAGTCCTTAAACAAGAGACAAAACACCTGTGTCCTTAATAAACAGGGTTTCCTACAACTAATACCAGCTTAACCCTTATTTAGTTTCTCAACTTCTGCACCAATGACATTTTAGACTGGGTATTTCTTTGTTGTGGTGGGCTGTCCTGTGCACTGTAGGATGTTTAACAGTATCTCCAGCCAGTACCAAAACCTCCACCCTGCTGTGACAACCAAAAATGCCTTCAGACACTGTAAATGACTCCTCTGTGAGTGATACAAAATTGTCTCATGGTTGAGAACCACTGGTGAAGTGGTTTCATATCAATAAATAAAAGGACAAACAAAAGGGGATGCTAGCCCCTAAATGCTAAATGAAAGAAGCTAGTAACAAAAGTCCACATATTATATGATTTCGTTTATATGAAATGCTCAGAATAGGTAAATACGAAGAAAACAGATGGGGGGGTGGTGGTGGAAGAAATGACTTCTAACGGGGCAAGGTGTTTCTTTCTGGGAAGTGAATCCTGCCAGATTCTCCAGAATTAAAAATGATTTAATGATCAACAGATGTTTCCTTAAAGAAACAATACTGTACAAATGCAATGAGTCTACCTATACCAGAGTGCCTAGAACTAGACTAATTACGCTGCTCTTTAGAGCCAAGCCATGAGATTTCATACAATGCAATATCATGATGTTGACAGGCCTCACTTTTACTGTACTACAGTAGAGAATAAAAACCAAGTCAGCATATGCTCCACCACCTCGACCCACCAGTTCAGTTCCATGACCCAACTTCTTCAAACTGACACAACTGGAGGGAAAGGCCATGTTGCCTTCCCCTTACCTTTTTCCACTCAATTTGGTCATTTACGTAAAAAATATAAAGCAAGTGCCCAATACACATCATGCTGACCACTACACAAAGTACTTGGAGCTTCTCTGTAAGAGAAGAGCTATAAAAATTCAAATTGACTTTGGTGTGTGTACTTGTAAGTGTACATACACATAATTAGAAATATGCACTTGGGGGGGTGCCTGGGTGGCTCAGTCGGTTAAGCGTCTTTCTTCGGCTCAGGTGGTGATCCCAGGCCCCATGATGGGCTCCCTGCTCAGCGGGGAGCCTGCTTCTCCCTCTCCCTCTTGCTTCCCCTGCTTGTGCTCTGTCAAATAAATAAAATCTTAAAAAAAAAAAAAAAAGAAAGAAAGACAAGAAATATGCACTTGGTTTTTAAAAACAATACTCTGAAGTTAATTCTTTCCCCCACCCTCATGAAAAGTGAATACATTCCAGGATGTTTTGAGACGAATACAAAGTGGTAGGGTATATTGTCAAGCCAAACACAAATGGTATGTGAATTAGACCTTAAAGCTGTTTAAAAGTATGTATGTTTCAAAGATTTTATTTTTATTTTAGAGAGTGTGTGTGCCCATGTGAGCGAGCAGGGGGAGGGACGGGGGGAATCTCAAGCAGACGCAGTGCTCTCGTGACCCTGAGATCAAGACCTGAGCCGAAACCAAGAGTCAGGTGCTTAACTGAGCCACCCAGGTGTCCCTAAAAAAAAATATATTTTAACAACCACATTACTTAGAAACACTATGTTTTACTTTGACGCTCTCCTTGTATCTGTATTTGAATTTTCAGTTTGTCTTCGCCTTCTGAATCGGGGTACCCTACTCCCAGAGTAACAAACATATGCTAGAGGATGGAATTTAAAAATAGTAATGTAGGTAAACCTTGCTTTTCAAAAGGCTGCACTATGCCACTTTGCCTTTATGAAAGACTTACATTATTACTTGTTTCCCCTAACCAAAAGAAATCCAGAGAGACTCTTTGCTCTTACAAAAAAAAGAAAAAAGTGAAAACAGTGTTAGGCATTTGTTTTGCAGTGAGCCATCACAGAGGCAGACACAATTCTAACTGAGTGGCACGTCCAAGCTCATTCCCCAAGAACTATACTCAGCATCAAGCCACCATATAGTTTTGAACTGTGCCTGTGAGCATCTGTACTTTATCTTGATTTATTTTGTTAGCAAGATATGCCCTAAGGTATTAGAAAAGCCAGAGAGGTTATTTTTGAGGTCTGGGAATGCTCCCAAAAATTTCCCTATAAGCTAATGGTCATTGCTTCTTTGCTTTATGCCATTTCAGCTTACAAAATGTTCTACTTTTGGATAGCAGGGGAAACCTGTATGTGAACAGCATATAATGAAACTATTTTAAACTATTTTTAAACTATAAGGACCAGCACTGTATGAAAACAACTACTGGATACTGTCCTCTCCCTATGAAAATAATTAAACAAGATGCCACATATGACATTTTGAAGTGCTATGCAAATGAAAGGCTTTCTGTGCATACAAGCACTATTTCCAATTTGAAAGCATTTGTCTCAAAAAATGTTAACCTATATCAAACACATTTGATTCCCTGTAAGTAAGGAGAGCAGTTCAATAGTCTGCTCTGGGACACTTTCAGATCTTGAAAGTCAGTAATGGGTCAACTGGATACTGATATTGCTGCAAAGAATTTTTCGGTCTCATTTACAAGAGGGCTGTTAAGTTCTATCATGTATTTTCACTGAGAAAATATAAGATCTACTTTCAACAAGACACTGGGCATCATCATGAAGTATACTGAAAATATACCAAGAATTTTATAGTCTCATTAACAAAGCCGTATCTGGGAATATTGGCCACTCAACAAAAACAATGAGATCGGAAAAGATTTAAAGTGGGAAAACAAGTTTGATAAATCCCAAATTCCTCAAGGGCAGACTGTCAGATGTAACCCTGTACTCTGATACTATCAGTGTCCCTTACATATACTACACAAAGCTAAAAAGATTTATGGAACCAAATTAAAGAAAAGAGATTAGGGGTTCAAAGGGGGTAGAGTAAATGTGGAAGAACAGAAGGGAACATCAAGCAAATCCCTTTAACCAGTCCAGATTTCACTCAATTCTGTAAAATGAAGGGCACAGACTGCCAAAGTGTCTTCCACCCTTAAAATGCCACAAGTTATACAGAAAAGGGAATACAGGCTTTTTGCTCAATTATGGCACTAAGCCATCAAGATGGCAAATCTAGCCCAAATAAGTACTCTAATTCAGATGAAGTTTTTGGGTAGATCCCCAACATATGATAACTAAGCGAGGCATGGTTCTAGCTGTCGGGGATGGATAAAATGGTGGACAAGATCAGAACATGGAAGCCAACCTTGTTATTTCCAAGTTGATAATGGAGAGCAGTCAGGAGTCTCAAAGATTTCGACCTTGCTCTGCTACCTGCAGCCATGTGACCTTGAAAAAAATAATTTCATCTTTCTCATCTGGGAGATACCACTATCTGCCTACATTATCTCAAAAAGGATCAAATGAGACAACATACACACAAGAGCCGGGTCAACTGTCAAGTGCTACACCAATGAAAGGTATTATGTTAAAATGCACCTCAATTCCTTCAACGTTTTCCAAAAACATACATAATTCTTAGTCTCTTACGTAACAGAGGAAATAAATTCTTGGTGAGAAATGAGTGTCCAGAGATAACAAGGGTTCAAGCACTGTTTTGCAGAATGCGTGATCATGACAGAGAAACTATCATCCCCCAAACTAAAATAAATGAATGCTGAAAATGTTCCAAAGCCCACTGCCAAGTCCTTGAGAAATGCAAGCTGACTGTACGTCACCGATATTCCCTACTCCAAAGTCGTCTAAAAAAACCTCAACTCTATCCACCAATATTATTTCAAAAGCACTCCCCAGTTGTGCAGTTCTCTTAAAAGAAAAAAAAAAAAAGGAAAAACCTAACTCTACTATCGGAGCTATCAAAATAAACCAAAATGGAAGCTGTCAAGGGTTCTGATCTTGTTCACCACTTTATCCATCCCCGACACCTAGAACCATGCCTAGCTTAGTCTGCGGTCAGTAAATAGGTACTGACTGAACAAGAAAAAAAACCTAGAAGAAACCTAGGTCTCCACCCTTGCTTTCTCTCCTTCAACACGTGGGCGCACCACACTGGGTTCCCCACCCCCACCTAACTCCAGTAGCTTCAACCTCCAAACCTATCACATTTACACTTGGAAAAATATATGGACCGGGCCACACTCTAAAACGGGAAAAACAGAAAGTGGAAGGACATAAGGGAAAGCACCACATGCGCGTAAAACCTTCCCATCTGGGCCCTCGCGCGTGCTTTTAAGGCGCGCCGGTCTCCGCTACCCTCGTCTCTCCTACCGCGCACGCGCGTCGTTGCCTTCCCCCGCCCCTCCACCGACTCGCGCTCGTGTTCTAACTGCCCCCCCTCTTCATTCCCCTGCCCCCACTCCCGACCACAACGGCCTCGCGCCTGGGAGACGTAGTCTACTGTGCACCCGTCCGCGCGCCAACCGCCTCCTTCCTTCCTCCACGCGGGTACAGTGCTTCACGTCTATGAGACGGCCTCACGCCTCCCAGAGATCTTTCTGCTCCTCATCACTCCAACTGAAGCCAGAGTCCATCATTACTCCCCGCTCCAACCTCGCGCTGACGGGGTGAAAAGGGTGTGAGGGGGAGGGGAAGGTGTCCTTCCCCTCCCCCCAAACATCCCGAGGCGATAACCTAACATGGCCAAGCCGCCAGCCTGCCGCAGCCCCAAAGTCCGAAGGAAAGCGGGGCCGCCCGCTCCCCGACTCCAGGGAATCAGTGGATCAGGCTCGGAGAGTGGCTAATGAGCCTGGTCCTTGGCCGCGCTCGGCCGCTCACTCACCTGAGGCCGCCATGTTGGGAGAGGGAGAGAGAACGCAAAGGACCCGGATGAGGCAATCACGTGATTATAGCGGGACGTCGGGCTAGGAGATGCGAAACTGGGAGGGGGCGGGGAGGTGAGGAGAGAGACAGGAGGCGGGGCGGTGCTGCTCTAGGTTCGTAAAGCAGCGCGAGGAGGTGGCGCGGCGTCCGACGGGAAGACCTGCGCGACATGTGGCCAAAGGGGTGGGGCCTGGGCTGTCGCGAAATCCTTCACGCTTTACGAAGGGCTACGCGCGGACGAGGGGGCGGGTTTCACGATCTGCCGACTTCCTGCCAGTGGGGTAAGCGGAAGGGGCGGGGTTAGGCATGCTGGTTCTAGTTGTCTGGGACCGAATGGAAGTGGGCTGGAACCCGGAATGAGTGCCATAATTGACTTTATGAAAGGGAAGATTCTAAGTTTCTTTTCTTTTGGTTTTCACGTGTGAAGACATATATGGTTAATTTACTGAGGTTTTTTTTAATTTTTAATTTTTTTAAAAAGATTTTATTTATTTATTTGACAGAGAGACACAGCAGAGAGAGGGAACACAAGGGGAGTGGGGGAGGGAAAAGCAGGCTTCCTGCCTAGCAGGGAGCCCAATGTGGGGCTCGATCCCAGGACCCTGGGATCATGACCTGAGCCGAAGGCAGATGCTTAACGACTGAGCCATCCAGGCGCCCCGAGCTTTTTTTTTTTTAATCAATTTTTGTTGAAGCAAAACAAGCCCAATATCTTGCCTAAGGGTGGTTTTAATTGGTTATGTTTAGAAGAATAAGAAAGTAACAAATATCGAACACTTAATTGCCATGGACTTTTACCTCAATTAGTCCTTCATTTTATCGACTACCTTCAGTTAGATCCGGGCCCTTATGATTTCACAGCCGAGTGTTATCCATGCTTCCTCTACCTAATGCTACATTTTATTATATATTATCATATACTGTATTAGTATGTTACTTAATGAAAATTTTCATTGAGCGCCTACCATGTGTCAGGCACTGTTATTGGCATTTTTTTGATAAAACAGAAAACAAAACTCCAAAGGACTTTATAGTCCAGTGAGGGAAAGAGACAATAAGCAGTGAATGAATATTAGAAATGATAAGCACTCTGCAGGTAATTAAGATGTTTTGATTAAAAGATGATTGGATGCAACTTTAGACTGCCTGGTCAGGGAAGGCCTCTGAGGAAGTGACATTTAAACACATCTGGAGGGTCACTCAGTCAGTTGAGCGTCTGCCTTCGGCTCAGGTCATGATCCTGGGGTACTGGGATGGAGCTGCGCATCAGGCTCCCTGCTCAGTGCGGAGTCCGCTTCTCCTTCTCCCTCTGCTTGCCACTCCCCCTGCTTGTGCAAGCTGCCCCTCTCTCTTCCTCCCTCCCTCCCTCTCTCGGTCAAATAAATAAATAAAATCTTTAGAAAAAGAACAACAGGGGGCGCCTGGGTGACTCAGTCGTTAAGCGTCTGCCTTCGGCTCAGGTCATGATCCCAGGGTCCTGGGATTGAGCCCCACATCGGGCTCCCTGCTCAGCGGGAAGCCTGCTTCTCCCTCTCCCACTCCCCCTGCTTGTATTCCCTCTCTTTCGCTGTGTCTCTCTCTGTCAAATAAATAAATAAAATCTTTAAAAAAAAAAAAAAAAGAACAACAGATCTGGATTACAAATAGCCGGTCCTGTGAACATCTTTAGGAAGAGCTTTAGGAGAAGGCAGAGGATGCACAGCTGGGTCATAAGCTCCAGGACAGCACCGCCTTGACAAATTGATGAATTTAAAAGCTGGTAGCTGGGATATGGTGAGGGAGGAGGAAGAGTGGTACAAGATGAAGTTTGAGAGATAGGAGTTGAATCGTGTGAGGCTTTGTAAACCATGTTTAGGAGTTTGGATTTTATTCCAAGTGGGTTGGGAAAACATGGAAGGATTTTATTTTTATGCAATAAAATAACGAATTCTATGTCATGACTTGAAGTAAAATTTTGAAAAGGATTACTTAGTGTCTTGATGTAGGTGGTGGTTACATCAGTGTATATTTATGTAAATATTCATCAGAATCAATTATAAAATTACGTTATGACTGCTGGCCAATATATTAATATTATACATGGAAACATTTTTTGACCTAAACATTTGTTTTTTATTATAATTTTAAACTAAAATGTTTTTGAGGGCCCCTGAAATTATGATGGAGCCCAGCCACTGTGCCTCCTATATACGTACTGGATAAGTTGGCCCAGCTGCTGTAATCCTGGTGAGAGAAGATGGTGGCTTAGATGAGAGGGTAGGGATGGAAAGAGACAGATGCAGATATATCTTGGAATTAGACTTGGTGATTGGTTAGATGTGAAGGGCACAGGAGAGGGAACTATCAAAGATGACTCCGTGTTTTTGGCATAAACACCTGGATGATACCATTTACTTAAACGGCCAAGCCTGAGGTGAGGCAGGTTTGGAGAGGCACATAGGCTCTGTTTTGGCCATATTAGAGTTGGGATATGTACTAATCCAGTACTTGTTATGTTTCGATGAATTTGCTTATCACCTGGGGAATTTGTTAAAAGTTAGATTCCAATTCAGTAGGACTGGGGTAAGGCTCGAGATTCCATATTTCTTCTGGTTTGGATCATTAAAAGGAATGTTATTTGAAAATTAAAAGAAAAATGTTGGCCATTGGGGACAGATTTCAGAAAGTGTACAGAAAAGCTAGATGAGGTAGGGACATGTGGGGTAGGGAGAGACTTAGTTACTAAGCACCTAATATATCCCAGGGTTATATCAAGCACTTAACAAACTAGCTTATTTAGTGCTCACAATGGCCCTCTAAGGTAAATCTATTATTTTCTTAAAGATTTTGTTTGTCACAAATAATGCAATATATGTTAAGAAAAAAAAAAGAAGAAGAAGAAGGTAGCGGGAGGGGAAGAATGAAGCGGGGGAAATCGGAGGGGTGGACGAACCATGAGAGACGATGGACTCTGAAAAACAAACAGGGTTCTAGAGGGGAGGGGGGTGGGAGGATGGGTTGGCCTGGTGGTGGGTATTGAGGAGGGCACATTCTGCATGGAGCACTGGGTGTTATGCACAAACAATGAATCATGGAACACTTCATCTAGAACTAATGATGTAATGTATGGGGATTAACATAAGAATAAAAAAAAAACAAAAAAAAACCCAAAAAAAAGATTTTGTTTGTCAGAGAGAGAGAGAGTGCACACAAGCAGGGGGATCATCAGGCAGAGGGAGAAGCAGGCTCCCCGCTGAGCAAGGAGCTCGATGCGGGACTTGATCCCAGGATCCTGGGATCATGACCTGAGCCGAAGGCACACACTTAGACTGAGCCACCCAGGTGTCCCACTCTAAGGTAAAAATCCTATTTTTAGATAATGACTCTGAAGTTCAGAAACAAAGAGTACCTAACCCAAGTGCACACAACCAGCAAGTGCGGAGCTGCAGGGCCAGAGCTATCAGGTTCATGTTCTTTTCAGTTTCCCAAAGGCTTCTTAAAAAATAAAACTGTTAAAATCACAAAATAAGTCTATGGTAAGCACTTTGTGGCATTTGTTCTGAAGAAATCCAGAAGGAATAAACTGTTAATTACCCATTGCTATGTAATGAATTACTCTAAAATTTACTGGCATTATCTCAGTGTTTGTGGGTCAGAAATTGATTATCAAAAATTACTTGCCAGGGTGGGGGGCACCTGATGGTTCAGTCAGTTAAGTGTCTGCCTTCAGCTCAGGTCATGATCCCAGGGTCCTGAGATGGAGCCCTTCCTCGGTTTCTCTGCTCAGTGGGAAGCCTTCCCCTCCCCCCCCACTTGTGCTGTCTCTGGCTATCTCTCTCTCTCTCAAATAAATAAATAAAATCTTAAAAAAACCCACAAAAGCAAACAAGCAAGTGCATGTAAGTTTATATTTGTTTTCTGGAGTCTGAATTTACTAAGCTAATTGGCTTAATTTAGTATTTGAGGTTCTTAACAATAATTAGTTGAAATTGTCCAAATTTTCTTTTGAAAACTACACTTTTTCTAATATATATAAATAATTATATTTGGAAACTTGACATTCTTCTTCTTCTTTTTTTTTAAAGATTTTATTTATTTATTTGACAGAGAGAGACACAGCGAGAGAGGGAACACAAGCAGGGGCAGAAGGAGAGGGAGAAGCAGGCTTCCTGAGGAGCAGGGAGCCTGATGTAGGGCTCGATCCCAGGACCCCGGGATCATGACCTGAGCCGAAGGCAGACGCTTAACGACTAAGCCACCCAGGCGCCCCGACATTCTTCATTTTTAAAACGATTTACTTATTTATATTAGATTATGAGCAGGGTGGGGGAGGTGGGGGAGAAGCAGAGGGAAATGGAGAGAGAGACTCCTCAAGCAGACCCCCGGCTGGGCTCGATTCCAGGACCTTGGGATCATGACCTGAGCCGAAGGCAGCTGCTTAACCAACTGAGCCACCCAGGTACCTTAAAAAAATCTTTTTTTTTTTTGTCATTTTATGAATCTGTGATGCTAATTGTGGATATTATGATCTTCCTTCTGGTGAAGTGGGCAAAGACATTTCTCAGATAACCAGGACTAAGCTAATCCATTAATAATGGAATATGGTTCATTTACCAGTTACTTCTATTTTGTTAAGCTTGGATAGCTGAAATAATCAAATTATCATTGTTTGCTGCTTTATGTCCTGACAACCCAAGCAAAATATATCAGTGCTTTAAAGATGTGTATTTCTCCAAAATAAAAGTCTTTTTATCACTGAGTTTTTACTGTGTAAGATTAATTTTAAATATATATCAAGATTATATAGGAGTTCTGTTTCTGGTTTGGTAATAGATTCCCAGAGGATTAACTCTCTTGAAGGTAAAAATAAACTCTGAATAAAAATTTAAAAAAAACCCCACAACTATCTGAAAGCTGTGGAACAAAGACAAGCAGATTTTGGAGGGGAGCTAAAACTTGGAAAAAGGTACCAACATGGGGTGTTACAGCCTGGTGTGGTCCAGGGTGGCTGAAGCTTTGCTAGAAAACCTGCCACATTTCTGCCATTAAGAATGCATTGCCCAGGGACGCCTGGGTGGC